CTATTATTTAGACAGAAATAAAGGATAGTGTTCGGAGATGCGTTTGGATAGAACACACTTTGTGCATTCTATGTAACCAGCCCAGCTCTATAAGAGCAGATGAGTTGGTAAACACGCATGGGGGTGACCCAATGAGGTAGTTTGTCCTTTACACACAACTGAATCAGTTGTTTACTGGAGAAAACAATCAGAAGCTGGGCTGAAATGGTCTTCTTCAGCGCTTTAAATAGTTGATTCTTCAGTCACCTAGAAGACTTTACTATAAACGCTTTCATCCTTATAGCTATACTACAAGGCTGTTAGTCGGTTTAAGGTAATCGGAAGAGTGCCCCAGACCTAGGTTTCGTGCTTGCTGACACTCGTCAGCACAGCGTATCTGCAACCTCGAGGGAACTAATGAGATTTCAACTCGTACCATCTAGTGTCGTATTCAATCACGTTACCACTGAGCTATTCAGGCAACAACTGACCTCCTTTGATGGACCCCCTAGCATGGCGGCTACATTGCAAAAGTGACTGACAGAACTTGGTTAGTACACTGGACTAGACAACAGGAAACTTGTTACTGTCCAGTGGGCAATCAATCTATACTATGAGGCTTAATGAATCACTTCATTATCTGCATGGAACATTCACTTAATTTACAGATCACAGGTTCTATTTGTATGTGGATTTGTGGAATATATATCGAGAAAAGAGAATATTTATCGTTTTCCTACCGTGCACATGGTCTGAAAAGATTCCCACATTTGATTTATAAGGTCGTAAGTAAAATGAAAACTGCCTGACTAAAACGTCCTATATTTACAGTACGATTTCCCAGAAAACTAAATGCCCTTCCTGTAAAATATTTTCTTCAATGGATGTTCTGATAGGTTTCAAAATCTCCACAAAAAATAACAGTCACGTCCAACGAGTGGATTACGTAATACAGTAGATGCTTTATTCAACCTTTAAGATGTTCGCTGAATGATAATCCTAAATGATATTTCATGAATGACTAACGCTTGTAAACTGCTTGGAGCGCTGGGTGAAACCACTGATCGCTTGCGTGATATTACAACCCGGTCAAAATATGGATGTCATAACTCTTCAGTTAATACTGAGTCATTGACTGGAATTCTACAAAGACTCAGATTTATCTCCAACTTCAAACACAACCGGTTGAACGAAACTGACTCAGGAAACTCACTTAGTAGTATGCGATAAATAAGAAATGATCTAACCGGAAACAGAGTCAATTTACAAGCTCATCATTACAACTAAGATAATTCCTATGTATGTGTGTAACTATAACTTTCAGAAACGTATTCGTTCAAGATGCTTTCATCTTTCTCTGAATAACACTGATATTTTACATGTTGAATATTAAAATAAATCTGCTTTTATGTTGCAGTTAACTATGATATTTTGATAATTCTGAATTCGTCTTCATGTAAGCAAATACATTCGTTAGACATTATTAACTAATCAGCTGTGAACACCACAAGATCCAACACTGCCGTTATTATATTGAGTGATGATTGAAGGTGAAATGAGAATTTGGACCGTGGCTGGATTCGAATCAGCGACCACCGGGTTTCTGGCCCGATGCTCTACCAACTGAGCTACGAGTTGTGAATTATTCAGATAAACATAATAAGCTATAAATTCATTATAAGTTCGTATTCACATGGAAACTGAAATAAGTTAAACACTGCAGGATAAATACATTTCCGGTGTTCAGCCGACTATATACATGATATACATGATATATATATATATATATATATATATATATATATATATATATACGTATTCGAACAGTGTTAACCATATTTTAAACTTTCGGATTGAAAAAAGTACGGCTATATAACTACCAGTAGAGCGGACATGATACTCAAGTCGATAAAATGATTTACTGATGACAAGTAGACAAAACAAAGATCTAGGTTATATTAACCTTAATAACTGACAATGGAATCCAGGATATGCATTTCGTCCTATTTGAAACTCATCACCTGGATGAGTGATGTTGCTCCCACTGAAACTTGAACGCATTAACCTTCACTACAAACACAAAACCATAATCCACTACGCATTGCCAATGAGGCTGAAATCTTGATCATAGATTAGCTTAGAATAGTAATAAATAGATCAAAATGCATTTCTGCCAGAAAAGAACCACAGAAACAAGAGAGTTTACAGGGAACCTATTCATAAATTGTCAAGATTGTAACTTTCTAAATAATGAATAACATACTTTGATGAATGTTTTCCAGGATCAGTTATAATCCCTATAGGAAACAAATAACTTCCCACTTTGGTGCAGTTTGTTTTTTATAACTTTACAGTCTATTACTGATGAACGTGTTCGAGATAAAAAGTGGTTGAGAAATCCAATTTTAGTTGATTTATTAGATGTATCACACAGTGGACACAATAATGACCATGAGCTTAAACTACAAACTGAGGTGTCAATAAATGATATCATGTTAGGAGTATAACTATACCTAACTTCCATAACCTTTAAGTTACATAAAAAATACACAAACAAACACAAAGAGTTACCAAGAGATCAATAGTTTCCTCAACTGTGGGAGTCATATTTATGGGTAGCTGGGAAAGGAAGGTTATCCAAACATATAGGCCTGCTCCATAAGTATAGTTTCGATATGTAGATGACACTTTTACAACAGTGTTGAAACCGAAGCAAATACATAGTCTATTCACACTTAGAAATCCAGTAGTCAAAGCAATCTAATTCATTTATGCATTAGGAAATAGTGATGTTGGATTGCAGAATAAAATGAAAACAAGATGAAAGTTCAGACACTAGGATCTATAGTAAACCTTCGCATTCAACTCATTACTTAGACTTTAAATGATCTGACCCTATATTGGTTAAAGTTGGCTTGACAAAATGTGTGAGTAAAAGGGCCAGAAAACTTACTGATAAGGTAGAAGATGTAAGAAAATAAACCAGATACATTAAAGACATATTACTCATCAATAAACTTTGTGGATTGAAAGATCCTATTGACCCAATTAAGAGGAATAACTTAGTTTGCCAAATCTCTTGCAACGGTTGTGAGGTCAAATACATAAGTCAAAGTAGTGGATCAGGGTCAATTAGGCTATCCGAACACAAAAAACCTAGTAAGGTCAAAATTGGTAGATCCTAGTAAGGTAAGAAATTTAGAAAAAAGCTTAGCCATAGCTAAGCATGCGATTACACACAACCACACAATAGGATGGGAGTAACATTAAAGGCCACCCTAGCAACGATTGACATCACCAATCAGTTTTTCCCATTTCGGCTGGAAAGGTAGATTTTTATAAAACAGAGAAGCCTAAGTGGTTATTTAGACTGTTGCTAGGGTGGCCATCAAAGCTACTGTAGGATGGGACAGGATGACAATCCTTAAAAGTAACGTAGCAAAGTGAGGGATAGATTGGATAACTGAATCTTTGGTCATCGAATCAACACCTAACACATGTAACAGGAATGACTCAGCACCTGTTCCGGATACATAGAAAATCTTACTATCTATATCACAACGAAGGTGAGGAAATTAAGACTACATAAAGGATATCTTAAAGTTGTGTAGCTATCTCGATATGACTATGGACAATAAATTATGTCTGAAACCTAATCCAGTAAAGAAATAATGTTCCACTGTGTGATATATCTAATAAACCAACTGGAATGGAATTACATTCCACCACAGTGCTCAAGTTTTACTCTTATTAATGATAATAATGCTCTTGAATAATAAATCTCCACAAACCTCTAGACAGAATTAATCTAGCGATCATTGGTGACTAGCTTCGAGAAGTGATTCACGAATTTCCAATGAGAAGTCGTGACCAGTGGAGTCAGCCAAGTCGAATGTGAGGACAGTTACTCAACGATGATATTGGATTTAGGCCGCGCTACATCGTGAACTGACAGAAGTAGGGAATATGAATCACGGGATTCCGACTTAGTGGCTCAATAGTAACGTGCTGGACACAGAACTGAAGGTCCTGGGTTCGATTCCTAGTGGAGCGGGACTTTGCATGCGCATTGCTGGAGTCCCATACAGGTGGGACGAAACAGCTGTCCCGTCCTCCCAGGTCTCCAATGTTCCCCCAACTGATGTCAGTCCATGATGAATTCCAACCTAGAATTCTTTATTAGTGGTTGAGAAATTCATCTCATAAATCGTAGTATTTTCATAATAATCTTCGGTATTAAATATAGTTACCCATTCATGTAGGATACACGTGAATTGCAGAATAATATCTTGGGCTAAGGATAGCTATATATATCCTAATGTCTTTATATAGATCGTGTACAATCCTAAGTAATTAGTGAGAGTGCTACAATCAACAATCTATTAGTATCAAATTCCTAACGGATAGCACAACAAATGTTGAAAGCAATAGAATTCTTTTGAGGTAACAATAAAGCCCATGTCACAAAAATAGCCATATTTATCATGAGCTAAACATTTCAGTTTTAGAGTAGTAATAAACAAACATAGGAGAAATATAATGGCCTTCGAATGAAAAGAAATAGTTAACTAACATCTAAATATTGTTAATTATCAAATGACAATAACTGAAAAAACCACCATCTTTATCTCGAAAGCAAAATATCCACATCAGCATCTTTTAACAGCTGAAGTAATGATCTTGAACTTGCTGACAATACTCTAGCATTAAATACCTATCGTAGAGTAAACAACTGCAAGGAGAAATGGACATTGAATTTACTCTATTATTCTCTAGGGATCAAATTAGAAAGATGTCAGTATGAAACGATCATCAAATCACAAAACAATAAACGTTTTAAAAACTGTCCAACAACTAGGTATATATAAACTGGACAATGGATAATTACTCACTACTATTTGGGTCAGTCAATAAAGAATCATAGAAATAGACTGAGTATAAAAATAACTCTGCATTCTATATGCAACCAGCTTAAGGAAAACTAAAACACTATTCACAAGCAATCGCAGCAAAATTCTTACCTCTTCTCTATATAAGTAACCTAATGTTGCTCCAGTTACTTGAGTTGCAAAGATTACAATCAAGATGGTGAAATATGTCCCCAACAAACACTGAGATTCATGATAAGCTCCACAACATCCGAATAGTGCAATGACTAGTGTAACTCCACCGATTCCCATCAAAGCGTATAGCATTATTTGTACTGCATGCTGTTGTCCTGACGCTAATATGATATCCTGGGCTTCTGGCTCCAAATAAATGTATACAGAAAAGCCCAAAACTGCTAAACCAATTAGCTGAAGATAAAGAGATAGAAAAAGTATGAATAATATGGTTATAATCGACAGTTATCTCGAAGTTCTGCATCGATATCAGACAGAAACTATTTAATTCAGGCAGGAATAGGAAAGGGATATATATATATATATATATATATATATATATATATATATATATATATATATATATATATATGAAACTGTCTGCTAAAATCACATCAAACTGAACAAAATCTGACTTCTCAGGAGTCGATACGATTGTAGTACGATGTTTACTAATGTTTTGGCTGAATACATGTAGCATACGGCTACTGTTATTAGTTTATTTTACTGATTTACTTTATCTTTAGTGTTATTGCCTGTATTATACTGTCGTTGATTCGACTCAGTTGATCGGTCTCTACTGGCATATGGGCTCCTGTGCGATGCCTCGATACGGCCTTTATTTTAACTATATTAGCGATGGATAGTAGCCAACAGTGGAATCCAGGATGTGCATTTCGTCTTATGTGGGACTCATCAGCTGGATATACCTACACCCCAGTAAGTGATGTTATTCCCAACGGGACTTGAACTCAGGTTTGAAGCGATTGGATTCCATTACTGACCACCATATATCACTAATTACTTTATCTTGCTCAGAAATTGTTTGTATGATGTGAACAGACAAATGAACTCTTCAGCATACGAATAATATATGAAATCTATTTTGCACTACAATATTCGAGCAGTGTATGACTAATTAAGGCTAATATATTTGAGAAAATTTCGTAGGCCTATGCATATATGTACGGTGGTGAAGGAAAAAGCCTGAGAGACAGGTTATTTGAGATTTAAGACACATAAAAGCAACAGTGTTGAAGTCATGTCAGTCGTAAACCGGTTTTCTGCACATACATATATATTCAGAGAAATAAGTGAAATAGCTATATACTTGGCATTAAAATAAAGGAGATTTTGTGACTCTCGTTGCCACTTGTTATATCTTTGTCTTGACTATTCGTTAAAACCTAAAGTATATATATATATATATATATTATATATATATATATATATATATAAATGGAAAAGGCGGTAAGATAACAAAAGATGGGTGTATTACAAGGTCAGAAACATATATAAAATACGTTTTATACATATTTACAGTGGCCTTGTCTATTTCTAGGCCTTTCTAGATTTGAATATTCTGTTGAGTTTTGTCCCTTCAACTAATCTGATATTTACATGTTAGTTTACATGTTTCTGCCTGAAACTTTGAGTTAAGAAGATTAGTTGAAAAAGACTTCAAAGGTTTGTGACTTTCTATGAAGATTTTGGTAATCTTATTCCACAATATCACAGGAGGATACTTCAGACCATACTCCTGAAGGCAGTGTAAATGAATTTAATGAAGCTAAGGAGAAGCTAAGCAATATTTTACACAAGACTATACACACTGGTACTACCGGTTGTTTTTTTGACCAACGAAGTAATTTTTATATGTGGTGTGTTACAATCGAAATAGATGATATGATATATAAAGTTTTAGTTATCAGTATCACGTAAGTGGACACAGAAGAACATTTAATCCCTTATTTAAATTTACTAGTTAGACCTGTTAAGTTCCCTAGTGCCGTAGAATAAAAATAATAAAAAGAGATCAACATTTAAATAAAAAGGAAAATTCATGCAGTGAAGAACGTGAATCAGTCAATAAAGCAAATATTTTATTATGATGGAAGCAGCTTTTGTTTGTCTTGCCTTTTACATTTCTCTATAATGTCATGATTTGGTCAAATATTTTACTAAGAACATATGTAGAAACAGTGTCCGCATCACTGTGTCTCACAAATCAAACATATCTCTGCAGAACACTTTAAGCAAGCTGAAGGATTCATTGCCAAAAGAATACCAAGGTGAATATAAACTATAAAATTAGCTGTACAGTCTGTCAACATCATTTGGTTGGTAGGATCAGCCGTTGAATAGTCCAAATAATTTATGATCATCGACTGACTGACAAACAGAATAATATATCATCGTTGATATCAATGCATGCAGATGAGTACAATCTCACAACTTCTATTTGGATAAGTTGAAGACACTACAACACCTTAGCTCGAAACCTCGTAAACAAGCGTATCAGCTCAAGTAATCACACTTCACAGCGATACACAAACAATAAGTAGATGGAAAAAGATATCACAGTAAGCAAAGCTGTATGAGAGAATAAAGGTTAATGAGAATAGTCAAACTCTAGAAAATGTTCAGGAGTGAATACATCTACGCCATTGTGACCGATTTTCAACCATGTCACTAAGAGTCACCACTGATTCCTTTCATTTTGGAGACCCCAACCAAGCAGTATACGTCTACCACAGCATGGCCCCAGCCAACAGGAAGAGACTTCATCGACTAGTACTAGGTTTTGGTCTGGCCACTCTGAACCTTACCTACGAACCAATAGTCGGCAAATATCCCACATTCATGAACGTTGGAAGTGCTGAGGAAGTCAGGTAGCATGGGGATTAAACGTATAAAAACAAACCTTAAGCTGAGAGAATACCAAACAATTGTTAAAGTAGGTAGCTTAAATACCGAAATTCGATAAGTATTACTTGAACACTGCATTTAAAACGTCAAACTAATTACGAATTTTCATCTGCGTTTATGCTTTAAATCGTCATTATTGATAAAACTGAAAACATGCGACTTTATCAAACTTTCAGTTACAGCTTTAATAGGATTGATAAATTTGCGAACAGTGGTAACCACTTTTTTTATCCTACCTAAGTCCAATATTGTATTGTACATATTGGTAGAAATGGGTACCACGTTCAATAAGATGGATGTTAGCAACATCATGCAAGCCATTATTAATGAGTAAGGTGTTTTTTTGTCACCTTCTTACAATTTTAGCCAAAAGTTATGGCTGAATGTGAACTTATATAACGAATATTATAAACCTTTTTCGATGATTATTTTGTGAATTAAAAAAAGAAGTAAAATGTAATGAATAAACAGCCACTGATGGTAACAGTCCTTTTAGTCTTCAAATGTACGAGAAAACTTCTTACTTATTTAATCAGCCTCATATAGATGTATAAGGAATTAAGTGTTGGATTTTCCTAGACAGTTTCGGGTCTTGAAATTAAGGCAGTTGGTTTCCCCATTTATGAAAAACGATGTTATTTTTGATGAAATTGAATTTGCTTTCTTACATCACAGATGTAGATTATATAAGAATAATTTGGTTATGAAATAGTTACAAAAATCCTTAGTAAGTCACAGAAGGTATCTTTATAACTTGTAAGGTGCAAATAATGAGAAATATCAGAATTCAGTGAGTGTTGGTCGTTGAACAGAAAGAACTGGAAAATCTCCCAATTCGAAAGAGAAACATATTAACATTTCTAAAAAACGTTATTGCTCAAAAATGTACAACTAGTTTAAGCTATCACTTGACTCAATACTATCACCCTATAATACTGTTTTACTTGGCTAAACAATCACATCTAAATTATAAGAGTTTGTGCATTTATACAAATGAAATGGCTATCGAGAGTGGAGTATCTAAACCAATCACACAAGAATAGGTAGTAATATTCATGAACTACTTATAATTAGCTTATTGACCTACGCACTGAAATCAGAAATGCTTGCTTTAGTGGAATCACCTTGTAAGCAATGTTGAGGTCAGGAGAACGGTACTAAGCAAGACAGGCAAGTTGATTGGTTAAGTTGTGAACCTTCATCGTCTGAAATGGCTTGGAGATGTACTGCGCATGCCCAGGCACAGACTATCTCGACGTGCTATCCCATGGGAATTTGTATTAGGTTGGAGGAGGGCTCAGGGTGGCCAGACCAAGACCTGGCGCTGGTCGATGAAATTCTTAGATGTTATTCTAATTAGTATATTGAGATGGAGACTACCTGTTTAGGGTCCCCCGAGACTATACAAATCGGTGGTTATAATAGTGCAGATGTATTTATTCCTTAACATTGTCTAAAGCTTAAATATTTGTACTTTATCTTCAAATAATTTGTCTGGTTTGATATCACTTATTTTCTATCCACCTTTTTTTGCCCACTACTGTCAAGTGTGGCAACTTGAGCAGATGCACCCGTACGAGGTTCTACGTTGATTTTGTCAGTCGGTCAGTCAGCCAAACTGCGAAGCATACACCGAAACGTATTGACCGACGAAATTGGTATGATAAAATTACGCACGAACTTAAAAAATGAAAAGCAACTACGAGAAATCCCTTAGTTTATCAAAAACAATAAATATATGATGATTTCCCATCTAAAAATCCGGAATCAGTTTTGTTGCATGGTGTTAGTGCGAATAGTTTCCACGCTATATAAACCAGGAATGCAATTCAACACTGTAAATTCCATATTTCACTAAATATTACTGATTTAAAAACTTGTAGGATAAACCACAGTTCCTGAAGAAAACGGCATAGTGATTATGATTACCCATGAAATTTCTTGAAATATTTAACTGAACTTCATGATTCAAGCCTTAGTATCACTTTTCTTGAAAGAGGATTTTGATTATCCTGCACTGTAAAGGGTGACTTTAGAGGCCACCCTAGCAACATTCCTTTATTTTGTGGAAAAGTACTTTCCCAGGCGAAACATCTAAGCCCTATGTGTCACTTCAGCAGTTGCTAGGGTGGTCGTTAAAGTTATCCACTGTCAAACTAAGTCTTTTAAAAGTGGCAGCATAAGAAAGAGTGATATGAAGTTACTCAAGCCCACAAAAATATACAGCTTTAAAGTTTTTAAACGATATGATAGATAACTTTACTCCAAATTATTGAATATGCTTCTTTAAACAATCACCAAACACTTTGATAAGATTTCATTTTTAGCCTTCGAAGAAAATATAATTCACTTTATTTATTTATCCTCTGACCCCAAGAAAAACTCATAGGTTTTCGATACATATTATCAAACCTATGACGTTGGTTGCATTAGGGTTCAGGTCTTGATGGGAACAACATTTCTCACTGAAAGCAGGTAAACCTAACTGACAAGTCCCAAATAGGACAAAACGCGCTTTCTGGATTCCACTGCTAGGCACTATCTGCCATTAACATCAAAATTCTACCAATTCATTTATTTTCATGTTTAAGTGTTTCAAGTTTGCGAATTTGTGACATGTTATAGTGCGTAGTTCTTTGCAAATATTAGGAATTCTCATCTCAACCCTTCGAAATAGAAGTGAATTGAGCAGTGCATTTCCTTGTATGCCATGCTTTAATAACTGTTTGTCTCTATATAGCTTTAACCAGTTCTATTCGCATAAATGTTTTAATAAGTAACTTTATCATTTAATTTCAAGAGGACTGAATTTTACTTCAGTCTATTTCGTCGTAAAATACTTTTCACCTGTTTACCTAATGCCATCTGGTGACATATACATAAACTTTAAAAGCTAAATACAAACAACTATTGCTGATAAATTTCTAATACACTATATGATTTTTATAAATTTTTCGAAGTATGGCAACAATTAGTAAAAATGATTTCAAGTATTTATTTTTAAAGATCATCCAATACAATCCTTAGACCTATTAAAATGAATTCTTACAAAAGTGATTAGGATGCCAAATTAATTTAATGATTCTGCTTGGTTTATAGGTGATATCTCTCATTTTGTCCAAAACCCCCTAGCTTGTCAAAAAATATAGTTGAACTACCAAAATTTATTATTTTTAACACTCTTTATAGCTTACAACTCCTTTCATAATAATAACTTTCATCCAAAGGTTTGGGCTACTCAGAGATAACATTGTAAATCAGAATGCATACAACTGATCGAAACCACTGAAAACACTTATAACACTTCATGTTAAGCTTACTGCCTACTGACAGTCAGAGAGTGCGACTAACGGTTCAACTCGCAAGACAGTATTCCAATCTGCACTGTTGTATTTAACGTCAACTTCTGACAATGGCCTATTACTCCAAATGCGTCTGATGCAAATAAGTGAATTCCAGGATTAAAACACCAGGAGTAAGTTAGGTGGTTCTGGATAGATTAATGATCATAAATAAAAGGTATCAATATTGCTGCGATACTCTGGTTTCCCGTAAGACAGAAAAGAAGCTTCAGGAAACCTAACAAAAAATTCAAGCTAAATAATCCAGTACTTTGAGGTAGTCAATCGCTTAAAAAGACGTAATATCTTTGTCATTTCACCAAAAAATACATTCATAGTTTTCAGCACTGGATAAGCCAAATCTTCCTAAAATTTCTTTAGTATCGTCTTATACATAGATGATGGTTGTTTAAAACTGCTGGAAAACCCAAGCATAGTAAACGGTGGTCATAAACTAGATTAACCCATACTTTCAAAGAAGCCTTTGAAAGTCAAGATTCGTAAGGTGCAAATATACTACACCGAGAATAAGATGTGTCAATAATTTAAGTCTTTCAAGATAGGAATATATTCGTTGTTCCTAAACTCAAGCAGTAACCAGTCAAAAAACCAATTCATCAAAATATTCACCTAGCTCTCTGGAACTCTGTATCACAAAATTGCTGATAATCTTTTGCAAAATAGAAAAATTTAAGCGTTAAGCAAAATAAATAGTAAGTAAATGGTTTTCGCGAAGTTAAATTCGCTTAAATTTGTTTCATTTTCTAAAAATGGAGACTATTTTGGCATTCAGTGTGTTGAGGGCAGACTGAAATTGAGGAGGTGTAAAAAAAACATTAGGTAAACAGTCAGACAAAGCAACTTAGGACCTAAGACAGAAGTGTGTCAATTTCATTTGCCACACTTCATTCGAACATGCAAACCAGTGGATATAAGTCGAATGAGATTAAGGTAGATAGAATTTCTGAATTGAAACAGGATAACCAGATAGAGGGTTATCGAAATATTTAAAAATTGGAAGATGGTCAACTAATGTACATATATGTTCCACGGTGGTCACTTTTCAGAAGTATCACTGAATGTTCCACTGTTGTTTCCTATCATCTCGAAGACCCGAGTCACGCAGGTTGTACCTCTTACCTGCCTTAGACCAACAATCAGAGACTTTAGAGACTGCTACAACTTTCTGACCTGGCCACTGTTAACCACATCTAACAACCGTATAAGAGACGGGAGGACTGCTGTACACTAGTCTTTTTGTGGAGATAATCAGATATCTTGCTGGCACGAGAGATGATATAATTCACACTCACTTTTTATGCTTTAATACTGCTAGCAATTACATAAAAACAAGCAGCAACTACAGTACCTCAGCAGTGCAATCCAAGTGGTTCATACAAGCCTCAGCTTTGTGCAGCATCAGCAATGAAGGAAATCATTAGTGAGTTGCTGTTGGTGTGCTAAAATATTTTCCTAAGCACGTCAAAGTTAAAAAAGAACTAGAACTTAATTTTCCACCCAGTCAATAAAAACATAACCGGGTATTTTGTGGTCAACTATCATCCAGGACAATATATGATTATGAAGCTAGTAAGAAAACTACACTGGTGCGACTGTAAAGTGAGCTCATGAAAATAGGCTCTTGGGGAAGGGGAACGTCACAATTTAGGGGATTGTCACTGCTCCATGATAAATCTCTTACCAAAGAAAGTCTAAATTATGCTCATCGACTGAGAAATATTTTCTAATGCAGTATTCATAGATTTTAATGCGGCATCTGACTAGGTTTCTCACTTCAAAATAAAGGAGGACTAGAAAACTGTTGAATTTATGGGAAAGTAACAAACTAAGCCACAGTCACAGAAAACAGAACATTCTCGTCACTGATGTTCTGTAAATGTAGAAATTATGCAAGAGTAGTGTATCTTGTGTTAAAATGCTAGACTATTCTGTATACACGAAATGCTAATAAAAGTCATCGAGTCTCACAATCAGAGCGATCTCTCTGCAAAGCTATAAAGATAGCCTGTTGGCACAGGAAGGCCATAAACGATCGATAGGATCTTCAGCAAATATTCACCGAAGATTAACACCAGTTGAAGTTGTATCAAGCATATAGAATATGAAGACCCACGTGATGACACAATTAATGACTCATAGTTGCAGTAAGTTTAGAGGTACATTAATTCAGGCACCACTGTAGAACATAACCATAAGATTTTTCAAACCTCCACAATAATCGCTACTAAAGTTTTTCCACCTTTATTCTGCGTTTTTAAAATTTTCCAAAATTACATTAGGGCTTATTCAGGAAATCAAACTCAGTATATGCACATCATTTGAGAAGTTACGTTAAAACAACAAAATAGTTTTGTATATTATACAAACATTTCGAAATCGGTTGAAAGCATATAAGGTGGAATGATCAAGGTCTTCTCTGTCCTCCCCTACGATAAGTTCCTAGGTCCTCTTGATCTCCTCCTTCTGTCTTACCATAGATTTGAGGCCTCATCTTAGCTCTTCTTATTTGAAGTGATGATAGCCATAAGATTACCCTGTTTTCCGTTCTTCCAGATAGATCCTTAGAAAATCAGGACACTGTAAGGTTTGAGGGTTATGATCAAATTTTCTACTGAATGAAAGCCATTCTATGAGCCAGCAGAATTCTTTTAGACAACACATCACTTCTAAAAATTCCGTTGAGACTTTCGGATAAATAATGGGTCTGAAATGAGCCGTAAATTAAAAGATTTACCGCCGTTCACCAGATATCATTCATTTTTCGAAAAAAGGAGCTGGATTGCAAGTTTCATACAGCTGGATCTCATTCAGTGAGTAATTTATGATGTAATAGGAGTTGAAATAGCAAGAAGTAAGGTCTATGCATTCTAACTGGGAACCAATGGCTGCACTGAACCTGACAGGATAAGCCGAATCAGATGTTGGATAATTCAATATGCATACATATCTCTATAGCAGTTAGTGATCTTTTTGACACAAATATTTCCAGAAATAAGTTTGCAGCAAACTGAAAAAAGCAGGACCATTTGTCGGAGAAAAAGTAACATTGTTTGGTAGGCTACTTACCCGTATAAACAGTGATCAAACTAGATAATTTTGTTGTAAAACAGTAAAAAGAATAGAGGCTGAAAATCTCGTGTTTACACTTGGTAGAGAAAAAAATGTGTCGGGGACAAAGTAGCAATGACACCATAGGAACTCCAAGAGCGATATAACGTCTATTAAAATTCACTTCGCACTGATGAAAATAGTGTTCCTGAGCCCTTATTCATGTCAATGTTTTAAAACTAAACGTTGATATGGTTCTAACATGATGTGATATCCACAACTAAAACTATACACAACATTTTTAACCACTACAAACCCGACTGTTATATTGAAAACATAAGTCAGGACACATACCTAGTTTAACATTATCATTTTACAAAGAAAATAAATCAAGCGTATGTTTGATAACATTTTTAAGTGATATTTAATCATATAAAATGGGAAACTGCGCAAACAATCATGTGACCTAATGTCCGTTGGTATAGCTTTTAGAAATCAATTTAATCTGGGAACATAAGTGCATTCTTAGGAGGTAAGATATTATCCCTATTCCACTAGTACTATTTGATATATGAAAAATGCGAAGAAGCAAAAGGACTTCAGCCCATCACCGAAAATGGTACACTAACTTCCAACTCACCACAACAAGGAAGTTGAAAATCACTAGTATAATTCTCAAACACTGTACACAGCCTTTCATTCTCAAAGAACGCTAAATCCTATCAATAATTTAAAAGATAGTCGTTCAATGAAGGAGTGTGTGCATTCATTTTTGATTATTTAAAACAGAACAAGGTATTTGTTGCATCTTCAATGTGTAATATCCGTTTGATATGCTGGTTTAAACCAATCGACAATTAGTCCGAACTCCTACTGGAAGAATGTAAAGCCTCAGTTTGGTGTCTTGACACTGGTGGATTCCCATCTAACACCCAACATCGTTGGTCAGACTCAGATTCAGATTTGTATCTTGGCGACAGACATATCTCTTTCAGTAGACTTTCGTGCTTCTTCAACCCTATTTTGAGCTGGCCAATTAATGATGCGGACACTACTTCTTCTGAGAGTCGGTCCCAGGAGTTGATTACTATGCACGACAACCAGTATTCTTCAGAGACCATGCTAGTTCGTTACCTTTGTATTCTCCTGATATGTCCTCTGAGGTGTCCGAACCTAGTAGGAAGGAAAGAGGGGGGTAGATCAGTTACTTAGTCATTTCTTAGAGTCCTGTATAGCACGGTTAATTCTCCTGTCTGTCTGCCATGGGAGAAAGTGAAGAAGTTTAGCTCCTTAAGTCGAGCTTCATGAGTGAGGCGAGCCAACGCAGGAATCATATGAGTGGCTGCCCTCTGAACTCCTTCTGGAAGGTCTGAGCAACACTCAAGCCAAGGATTTGCCGCCTGTGTGCAGTTTTTCAATTTAGACCTAACTAAGGATGAGTGTAAGATGATGAACATGTCACCACTTATTTTCTTAAACGTTCTACGTGATGCCCATAGAGTCCTAAAACTCTGAGCTGCTACCAATCGACAGTGAGTCGTGGCTTTCAACTCATAACTAGCTGTGACTCCTAGGTCATTGTGGGTCAGTAATGACGGCAGAGGAGTCCCATCAATATCGTATGCGTTGCTGTGTATGTGCCCCAAGTGCATGCTCACACATTTACCTGCATTGATAGGCATCAGCCACTTTCCTGACCGGGTAAACAAGCTGTTCAGGTCTACCCGGAGCGCACATATATCCTCATCATTCCTAATTTCTCGCCGAATTTATACGTCGTCGGCGTAGGAACCATGAGGGATTTCGTGGTATTTGGCAGCTCCTTTATGTATTGAAGGAACGGCAGGAGGCCCAGGACGGTGCCTTGCGGCACTCCACTCTCCACTGACTTCTAATAGGAGAGTCGATACTTGATCCCCACTTTTTGTCTCCTACCAATGAAGAACTCTCTTATCCATACAAGCAGACTGCCAGTGATTTCAAATTTTTCCAGTTTCCCGAGCAACCTGGAATGAGATATCTTGTCGAACACCTACAAAAGTCTATGAAAATGACGTCTACAAGTATCTTATCATCTTGAGACTTGACCCAAACCTCTCTGACTGTAAGTAGGTTAGTCAGGCAAGAGGAATTTCTGAAAAAGCCATGCTGCAAACGAGACAGTAGAATGTCGCTCCCCAGGTGGATTGTGGTGGTTTTCTTGATATCTCTTTCTAGGACTGTTTCTACAGTCTTAGTCAAGCTTACCGGTTCGTAATTAGGCGGGTGCTGCCTAGAACCTGCCTTGTAGATAAATGTTACTATGGCATCCTCCCAGTCACGGGAGAGTGTGCTTGCACCATGGGACGGTCAGATACATAGATTTCAAGCTCTCCAGGCAGCTTTGGGTGCAGCTAATCCGATCCCGTTGATTTTTCCACGTCGGGATTACTCAACTTCCAAAATACGTCATTACAATCGATATCCACGAAGTTTATTGTGTTAGTCGATACTTCTATTGATGGATGGGTGTCCATAGACGATTCCCGTACAGAGACATCAGCAAAATATGCCGCCACAGCTTATCCTTTTTCCCCATCGTTTCCCACTAAATAGGCAGTTTCTGTCCCTCTGATTGGAGCGGGTACACCGCGACACATCTTATAATAATAATAATTCATTCCTGGATGTCAGGTGCAGATCATTTTTACTGATGCGAGCATAACGATTTGTGAAGGAAAATCTCTGGTAAAGGTTTTAAGTATTTTTACCACCTCCCTTTAATACCGGGTAGTGGAAATCCCAAGTCTGAAAGAAAGAAAATTTTACATCACACACAAGTAGTTAATGTAAGAAGAAAACTTCCTTGGATGTTGTGATGCAGCCCGTGCAAGATGTGCTTCAAAGCATATTCGAGGCCGGTAGATAGCAGCGATGCGTTTATTTCGGGCTTCTTTGTAACGCCTCCTCATTTGGGAAGTAACAAGGCGGGTGGCAAGACTCCAACACTTTTTTGCATCGTAGTGGGATTCAGATTTCATGGTTTATCCACGGAGGACAATTTTTCCATCACTTCGGAACAGTTCACGGAATGAACGGTTGAGCAACTCGTGCATATAACTGTCCGAAGGAGCACCAGGCAGCTTCAACTTAGCTCACGGACTGACTTTCAGGTTCTCCGAAGGGGCTGCCAGGTTAGTGGCTTCTATATTCGCTTTCCATTTGTTGAGTCTAGCTGGAACATCGGCCTGGTACAAGACGTCTGGTGTGAATATGAAGACGATCTCGGAGCAAGCAGTTTTACCGAGGGTCGCTAGGTGCCGGATTGAGCATACATCATCTGTGTGCGGGAATACTAAGTCTTAAAATGATGAAGCATGCTGATGATCATGTCTGGTTGGCGCTCTAATGTGCCCTATGAAGGCTAAGGAAATTGATGTTTCCAGCAACCCGTGATCAAACGACTTACGTGGTGCTTTTGTTTTCAGCCTATCTCAGTCAACTGATGGTGTGTTGAAGTCTCCCACAACTCAGCATGTATCCAGGGGGTCGGCTTATTCAAGAGGGGGTCTGCTGCCTCACGTTCAGGGTTCTATATATTACGACTAAGTTAACATCTTGCCCCTGCATTTTTGCGGGAAGAACAGCATTTCACATGTTTCGCTTTCATGTGCACCACTTCTGTGGTTCTTGCAACTAAGGTATTCCTAACGTAAAGGATGACACCATCACCCTTGTGAGTTAACTATCACTTCTAAAAGAGATGAATCCCTGCAAGCAAGTCCCGCAGTCAGTGACACAAGAAGAGAGCCTAGTTTCTGAGGAAGCAATGGTGTCAGGACTTTCTTTGCTTATCACACCACTATTCTCGGCCTACGTGTCTATCAAACTGCTGCATTTGCGCACAAGAAAATAAAACTACTTAAATGAGTTTCCATCCCATTCATAAAGGCCTCGGCACACGAAAGCCCACTACTTGTAGATCTTGCTATCCTGCTGGTTATCTAAATTTTAGTTCTGCTTCTGCTTCTCATTTTATGATTCGCCCAGCAAGGGCCGAAACCTCACGCACAAACACTCCAGATCCTTGAATTGCGTCAGCGTTCTTTAGAATCTGTTCCCTCTCAGCTATTGACTTGGCACGACATTAAGTAGCCGAAACTTGTCTTCAGTAATGACTGTCTCCTTTTTGTCTGCCCAACCCGTCTTGCGCGGCGTGACTTCTGGCATGTTTTCAGGCATGAGAGGAAACTTGCAGTTCCCGAACTCTCCCCTCTAAGCCTTAAATATCTGTCCCTTTTGGTCAGTTATGCTCCCCTGATTGCTCCAGGTCTCCTTCCAGCTTACATGCTTATGGCTCTGTAAGTAGTTATTGCCTACCTGCAGTTTCTTGTTTTGCAAATTCTAGGCTGGTTTGTTTGGCAAAGCAGGGGTACCATCAGTACTACCGATCATCCTTTCGCAATTCCTATATCTATGGTCACCTGTAAGTTGGTATTAAGTGCTATCCAACGAATAGTGAGGGCAATAGGGTTATTGGAGAATTAACGAAGGAGGGTGAAGGGTGTTCATGGGAAAAGAATTGTGCCCACAATGACATGAAGGGTGTACGGTTCATACAGCAGACATCAGGAGTGGCCTACACTGAGATTGATAGGTGAACTTCCGTTTACCAGTGTCATGCGTTGACGATAGCCTGTTTTAGCTCATGCATTCATAAAGCTTTCATCCGGAACAGTTGACTGAGGTGGCTGAGGCTGCTCCAGTTGTAGAGACTTCCGTAATGCACTCACATTTTGAGATAAATGAGATCCAACTCCTATCGTAGCCCCATGACCTGGTATTCGATTAGGTTCCCCTAGAACTGTCGGTATTGGGCCGATCGAGTTGTCGTTTCGGGGTAGTTGGAATGGTGGGTTATAACATTATGGACCGTTAATAGGCCTCCTCTTTCTCTCTGAAAGCTTAAGGTGAACAAATCCAGTTGGCTGCCACTAAAAATGACAATAATTGATCTTTGAAAGCACAAGTGCACAATAGTTTGCAAGCGTGATTATATACTTAAACAAAATTAACGATTTTGGCTAGCACAGCTTGATCGAGCCAAGAAAATAAGCTGATTTATATGAGCAAAAGTTAGAAGCAGCATTCATCATATCAGTTAGGGAACCATTGTAAATCTTGGGGCACTAGACAGCTATTTGGTCCCATTATGGGATTCCTCGGCAGAAGGCACCCAAGACCGATAAGGGATGGGCTTATAGATTCATGGAAAGACAGTACATTGTGACTCCTTAAATAACCATGTCGAGTTGCAGGCTTTGTACTGGCTCAATCAACTGCTATCATAAAATTACGTTCAATTTTCTGTTCATCCGCCAATCCAAACAAGACGCTAGAGTGAAACAAGTTGCCTGTTTCACTTGTGGCCTTTGTTACTGTTCTTATTAACCTAACCCAAAATCAATGATCGTTTTTCTCAAACATATTGTACAGGGAATAAATTTTTTGAACCAGTAAATGCCGAGAGTCCCATACCGTACCACACGTATTGCATGGGGTAAAGCTATGATTACTGGTATCATTACCGCCATTACCATAATGCAATAAGATAATTTATATTCACTTTCTATACAAGGCAATTTTTCGCTTAGACTGGATCCTTTTTGTGCCTCTCAAAGAGGAGGAATACGGGACAAATGCTAAAAGCATTTGTGAAAA